TGACGCTTAGGAGAACGTGATGGGGACATGCGGTAAATTGAAATAAATGAGAACGCACTATTGGATTGCCAGCATTCGTCGAAAGGAAACAAGGAAGAATTGGTATCTGTAATCACTTTTTAATTTTAAGTTATTATTAATTAATTAGTATCTGTAATCGTAATATGAATCGCTGTAAGAATTGCTGTGTAACGTGTTTGAATAGACCCTTTGCATGTATGAAATAAATCAAATAATAGTGTTCCCGACGACAATGATGTGTTTTACTGTAAACTGTTGAAAGTCAATGTCAAAGTGGAAAGTTTGTAATTCTCTGTCATCCAGTTTCATTTACTAGCACTGCCTTATGATGATGGCATTCAAATGAGTCTGTCTTTCTAATTTTGCAACCAGCAAATCTTAAGTTCCGTTCTGTCTGTGAGGCTCAGTCAAACTGTTTTTCCTTTTCTGCTTGTACGTTCTCAATACATTTCCGGGCAACCTAGGTTTCCACCTTAAAGTCCTTTAATGTTTCGAAGAAATTAAACAATGTGATACAATGTAATTTACATTGAACTGAGAGTTTCTGAATAATGTGATGTGTACCGTTGCGGGAAACAGTATGTATCATGATGTGGTGGTTTTACTTAGCGGAAAGAAATAGTCACTGCTCATTTTGCGTTGCTACAAAAAATTTCTTATCCTGAAAGTACATCACATACATTACCCAATAATATTTCCAAAAATATGCATCAGAGTGAATACAGTTTTTCAAAGAAAGCAATTGATCTTGGATCCTGCCTTTCCTTGGTTTAAGTTTGTTCCAGTGAGTGACATGGTTGTTGGAAATGTCTCCTCCAGCAGCCCTTGCTATACCTTTTCGTTTCCTTCCTTCTCATCCTCAATGCCCACCGATTCGATCTCCTCCGAAGCTCTCTTTTTTCTCCTTCTCCTCTTCTGCCTACCCGTCTTCTCCTTCGCGTCTCCCGCCCTCGTGCGTGTTCCGCCCCGCGCCGCGCTGTGCGCCGGCCGCTCTCCGCCCCCGCCCCCGCCCCCGCCCGCGCGCTGCTGTCGCGCAAATGAGTTCCGCGGAGATTGAGGCGCTGCGCTCGGCCGAGAGGGGGAGCGAGGCGAAGCGCCATGGATGTGGGGCTCGCCGGTTTGCATGGGAAGGGCGGTCCAGGGCGTGGGCGGGGCTCGGAGCGGGGCAGGGCGGGGCGGGCGGGGGCGGGCGGGGCGGGCGTGGGCGGGGCGGGCGGGGCGGGGCCGTGGGGGACGGCCTTGGGTCATGCACTGGAGGCGGAGGCAGCGACCATTCGGGAGGACACTACTGTTGCAAATTGCACGCAAGGCCCACGGAGTGGTTGCTTAGGACTTCAGGATGAGCTAATGTTAAAGAACCCACTGGAGAAGACAGCACGTAATTAATATTTCGTAGTTTACCATGAATCCGTGTTTTTTTCTTTTCTTTCTTTCCTTGTTTCCTTCTTTCTATTTTTTCTTTCTTTCCTTCTTTCTATTTTTCTTTTTTTTTCTTTCTTTGCTTTTTTTTGGGTGTATTGTCTTCAGAACTTCACTATGTGTTACTGAATTTTGATTATTTGCGAATGGAATTAATCCTTTACAGTAACAAATTTATTGGAAATTGCTGAACAGGTACTGCAAGGGCAATACATTTATATTTGTCTTAATTATTCGTTTATCTGAGAGAAACAAACATGATTTAGTAGATCTACAATGTTTTATATTTTGTAAATAGTCGACCATAGACATTTAAAACGATAAAAAATGGAATATTTCTCATATCTAAATTAATTACAAAGGTTGCATCTACTAAGTCTACAATGAAATCTTCTTCCGACATAGCATTTCCGTGGACAACAAAGTTTCATTGGTCAAATGATCTTAGAGTCTATCATTAGGGCGATGCAATATTGCTTTCATTTTCTAACACAAATATTGAAATCATAAAACGTATTAATTAAAATTACGAATTAATAGGTTAAATTTTTAAATATTTACCAAATATTGTTTTCTTGCTTGATCCCTTTCAGTGCATTAGAAAATGGCATGGTGCTATAATTTCTCGCATGGTTTCTGTACTCAGAATGTGCCCAAGAGTAAAACAAAGATAACTACAGAAAACACGGTAATTTAAGTGATCGCGTTTACCCTTAGCAAATAAATTTATGAAATGAACCGTTCTAAAACTATTAAAATACGTGGTTTTTGCCTTATCTCTGAGGCGTGATAAGCATCAAAAAAAAAATAAGTCAGTCAATAATACGTGTTTCCACTGGAGGATACGAGGCGCCCAAATGGCCACGTTTGGCCCGTCAACCTCCTCTTCAAAGAAGTATTGGCTCCGGGCTGCACCATCGGTACAGAAAGAAAGCGAATAATTGACCCGTTGAGAATAGCTGCGAACGCGGGGAATCTCAGTGCCCAACAGCAGACCGTGACTTAGCAACTCCCACTCAGCCCTAGGGTAGTAGTTGGGAGGCGCCAAGCGGCAGGGATTCGACGGCGCGGCGCGGCGCGGAGCGGGGAGGAGGGGGAGAGCGGAGGAGACGGGCTCGTGAGGAGGCGGGGGGCGGGGAGGCTGGCGCGAAAAAGCGGCACGCTGGCGTCGACGCCGAGTATATTCAGGTCGTGATTAACCGTCGAACTCAAAAGCCTGTGAAACTCGCACCACCCTTTCCGGGAGCTCTTCGCGCCGCGGCGGCGGCGGCGGTGGCGGAGGCAGAGGCGGAGGCAGAGGCGAAGGCAGAGCCTGGGCAAAAACAGCGCCGCGCCGCGCAGCGCAGCAGGGGTGTGCAGAAGGGCACCCAAGAGTCCACGCAGACACCGCGCAGCGCAGCGTTTGGGCGTAGAATCCATACGCGTAGAAAAGAGAGCAACCTAACTATAGCCTCCGTTTAATAACCTCTCAACCGATAGTCTCCCCAGGTAGTATTCAGGAGTTAAGAAGAAAATATAACATTTTGTCACATTTTGCCGCTTTTGAGATAACGGTGGGAAACTGCTAAAATATAAATAAAAATATAATAACTTAAAATGTTAATTCAACTTTCCATGCATAAATGTTCGTTGTCTGTGAATTCTGTAACGTCTATACAGTGTCTTTCAATTATTAATGTTAAGAAAAAATGATCGATGTACGGAACTTAGAACGTTTTTGCTCGCTCTTCAAAATTTGAAGCTCCTGGACATCCATCATTTTTGTTTTCTCCGATTCAGTTGAAATTATTATTATTAAGGGTGTAAAGTACATTACCACTCTTTTGAATAGATTTCTGGTTCTGAAGGCACACAGATGGAATTCGTCTGACAAATGGACATAAGAAGGTGGAATACGCGACGAAACCCTGGGTCTCTAGGGGAAGGGGGGGAATTATGCTCCGCTAAGCCCACGCTACGTGATTGGGGCCCCGCAGTTGAAGACAACGTCCGTTCAACAAGTGGGACTTGCGAAGCAAATGAAATCCCCGCCAGTGGCCGCTTTCACAAATTTAGTCCTTACTACTCGATCGTAAAAGCACGCGCCTTTCATAAATGCCAATCATAGACAATTTTCGTGAATGTTGACTCTGTCTGACGCAAACTTGACGAATCTGGAAAAATGTTTAAAACTCAAAACCTGTTTTACATAAAATTAGTGAGAAAATTATTCTTAAAATGTTGTTCATTCAATATGATTTTGCCTTCACGGAAACTTAATCACCAAACTACTATTGCCTACTTATTTTCTTAAAACATTTGTAAGTTAATAATAAATGAAATTACAATATAATAAATTTTCATTAATAAAATTACGAATTAAAATTTAGAATTTCCTTTAAGTATTAGCTAACCGCATATCGAAGGTGCTCATACTGTCCTTCAGATGGACGCGATGTTTATCTTCTTTGTCAACACCATTCCTTAAGAAGTGTTCGAATAGGTGCTGAAGATAATTATGGCAGAGACCGGGTACGTTCGAGCGCATGTACGTAGGTGTCTGAACGCGTCCAGAAGTGACAGACTTTACTCTTCACTCTTCGCGGCGGTTCTACGAACGGGAAATCTTCAAATTAGAACGATCAACAGTAACTCCTGGAATTCATTAGCAGCAAAAAGTCCTCAGTCAGGCTCGACGTCTCCCAAATGACCCTTACGCGCAGCCCACTCGGGACTTACCTCATCCTGTGAACGAGCATTCCGTGTTAGTGACAACATCATGGCGAGTTCATTTGAAGCGGAAACAGCTTGCCGACGTCCATCCGTGCAGTAGCGAGCAGCATTTTTGTGCCGTATAAATCATGCTGTGTTGCTGAGCACAAAAGAAATGCTGTGTTTCGTGAAATCGTGACGGGTAATTTCTGTCTTCCTTTGCGACGCTGAATGCTATAATGTAATTACGTGTGAGATTCCGGAGACGCGGTCGATAGCGTGGAAATACAAGCAAGTACTTCGGAATGCGGCGAGGCAGGCGGAGGCAAAGAACTGAAATGAAGGCGATGGAGGGGATGGACGTGGAAGCGATGGGGAGAAGGGTGATGAGAGGTTTGCTTGCAAATTACAAAGAGTAATTGTGTGGGGGCAATCTCAATTTGCTTACCACATCCATCTGAAGAATTTGACGAAACTTCAGGGAAGAGTATGACTGAGTTTATTGTTTGCCTAATTATTTATGGATTTTGTTTTTACAAGAGTGAAAAAAGAGCGGGTGATTTGAGGAAATTTCTACGATCTCGTGAGGCATGAAGTTGTGATTAAGGCGATTTAGAAAATTACTCCCTGGAAAACTGTTATGAAATAAGTTTGAGTTCTAGGAATCATTAGCAGAAATTCATTAGTCTTTTCCCTACAGTTTGTTCGTTTAGAGTAATTCAGATACTAATGTCTCTATCTTTTGCAATAATTATAAAAATCAAAACAAATACTTAAATTAAATTTATTTCAAAGAGAACTAAAGATTCCTTAGATTAAAAATGAGTAACATTATAAATTAGCATAACGACATTCTTTCTTTTGATAGGTTACGCCTCCGAGCGGTTTTCGAACTGAGTGAGTGGTCGAATAGAGTGGACATGGTAAAATGATCCCGACACTGGCGCGTGCGAGTGCACCCCTGTAAATCAAAACAGCTCTTTAATAAATCAAGCGGAAGTGGAAATGGGCGGAGAGAGAAGCAATGATTTGATTGATGTAATCATGACCTCGAAGGCCACGGTAGTCTGCTCTGCGTCAGGGCGGCAGATGCGCGCACTTCGTTTCTGTGGTAATTGAAATATCCAGCACCGAAATAACTCAGTAACCACGTGCACGAGTAATGTTTACAAATGTATTTCAGTTGGTTTTAAAATAAATATTTTCTCTCTTTTCAATATCTTTTAACAAACATAAAAAAAATTGGTCTAGCCATTTTTGTGTGTATTAGTTCCTTAATGTTTCGAAAAATCAAAATATTTTATCCGATAATGACATAAATGAAAGGAAAACTACTCAATACTTTTTTTTTTCTCCATGTACTTTCTGACATTGTGAAGCCGACGGAGAGAGAAAATTACAAATTTAAATTATTTAAGAAAGTTCGTAGATAATTATTTAAAAAGGTTTGCACTTATCCATCAAAATTAAAATGTTGTAGTCGTTAGTGTTGGAGCTTTTTTCTCTACAGACACGCTCTGGTTTGTAGCAGTTTGTTGAACATCTTCTATCCCAGAACGTCGTGTCACATCATTCACGAGCGAACGATACCTTGTAAATAATGTACTTAATGGTCCACTAGATGAGACATTTACAGAAGGAATTTGCAGCTAGTAGACCTCGACGTTTCCTGAGAAGCCTTTGAACACACGTCTAGTCGTGGAATGTAATCTAATGTCTATCAATTAGGTTTCTGGGACACCACACCTTGTTGCCTTTAGAATTTCAAATAGTCACGCTCATTGCGCAGCTAACAATAAGCTCGCTGGCAGTCACACCCCGAGTCAAATTAAGTAGCTGAAAGACCCAGGGAGCAAATTACGCAAATTGAGAAATTGAATCAATTATGTGATTTAAATGCTAAAAAATGAAAGATATCACTATTGTTTTCACTTTAACAATGAAACCACAGGAAACTATTAAAATTCCTCTAAATATTTATAGATATTTTCTGATGAAAGTTTGGAAGTAAGACATTACGACACATAGTTGACCAAATCCCGCAATAGAGTTCAATCTACCGGTATACTCGTGTGTCACATCAAAATTTGAAAAACAAAAATGGATGTATGTTTTTTTTATTTTTAAATTATAACAGTGGCCACATAGAAACAGTACATAATAAGATACGAAATGAGATAATTATTTTTATGATACTATTACAAAATTGTGGATACTTTCTAAAAAAAATGGTTCTTTTTGTATGATAAGTTTATTTTGCGCATTAAGTCATCTAGTATCATAAATGTAGAATCTCGGTTATTTGCACGGACAAATTTTAATTTTTGTCGCATCTCTAAATGTGAAAGTTTTTCAGAAATACCCGACTATTTTGCTGGATCTCTTTCCACAAGTACATAAAAATTCACGGAAAAAGTAACCTAGTCACTGCTCTCCTTAGATATCTCATTATGAGGTACGGCATCCCTGCACTAAAGAAAAGAAAGTAAAGTACTGCACAGAAAATTCAATCGCATAGAAGAGAAAAACACATCCCAAACTCCCCTACATAAATATCCGTATTGCCAACATGAAACACTTCGTATAGTTCGTAAACTTTATAGGACATACAAATTGAATTTTATTGTAATGAACGTAATACGGGTTCACAAATGAATATCGTCGAATCAAAGTCCCAAAGGGCACGCAGAGGTATTTAGTCGGTGCATGAACAACTTCCATGGGAGAGTTTGAAGGAAAAATTAACACACAAACTGAATAATCGGGCATGTTCTACATTTGCAAGATATTATAAAATCAATGTAAACCTAGTTTGTCCATGGGGTATAACCTAGCAAATATAGCTTCTTTCTGCTTATAATTATTTATTATGTGAACTCCATAAAATTTGTTTTCCCTTACGTGCAGCCAATTATTGTATTTCAAAAATTTATAAGAATATTTTCAATAAATTTAATATTTGGAACATTGCATTTAGGGAGATTTCGCTAGGCGGGTACATTATACTTTTAGTCTTGGTAGTCTTTAAAACATTCGAAAACTGTTGATGCAAGGGCAATGCGCGTGGGCGCCAACACTCACGCCTGGGCGAGCGCTGCAAGGGCGCGTCGCTGGGGGCGGCGGCGGCGGCGGCGGGCGGGGCGGCGAGCAGCAGGCCCAGGAGTAGCAGCAGCCCCAGCGGCAGCAGACGCGTCGACGGGCAGAGGGCGGACATGGTGGCGACGGCGGCGACGACAGGCGACAACGACTTGCGCGCGGCACACAGCGCTGGATTTAAGGGCCGCGTATCGCGGGGGCGGGGCGGGGCGGGGGGGGGCCGGGGCAAGCGCCTCTAATGGCGAACACCTGTCCTCACCAACAAACACGCCATTTGGCGCCCCCGGCCCGCCAGGCGAGCGCCCCGCCGACGCCTCGTTTCGACAGACGCGCGCCCGATAGCGGCGGGGCGGCGACGGGGGGGGCGGGGCGGGGCGGCGGGCGGCGGGGCGGGGGCGGGAGGAGGAAGGAAGCGGCGTCAGCGCAGGAACGACGCGAGGTGGCGCGCGATCAAGCTCCCCCGAACAGCTCGGACCGCGCGGCCTCAGACACGGCAACTCCAAAGGTCCTTCGAGTTTTTTAGTGGAACTGGGGGGGGTGACAACTGCTATTATATTTACCCCAGTAAGTGTAGTGTTTGTTGCTCCCCGAGACGCGATGTCCCTCTCTTGCTAGAACTTAAGATCCGGTGCCAACCTACACGTCGGCGCGCAGGATTTATCCCTTCCAGGTAATTCCACCAGCAGATCTCCGCCCCAGACGGGACAAGATCTAAGAACTCGACTGGCTCCCGGGTGGCCCAATACTGCATATAAGAGTATGTGACCGTCAGAGCAGAAGAGGGGACGATGATGATAGTTTCTCATCAATCATGCTCGGTTCACGCCCAGTTTATTAAGGTACTGCTTCCGCATTCGTCAGGAATTGATCCAAGATTCCGCGGAAAACTACCGATGCCGCTAGAGGTCTTCTTCAGACAGGGGGATAACTCAACCCAGCCATGTAGCCTTTGCCGAAATTCACCACCGAAGGAACTCGAACCCTAGAACCGTGCGGTCAGATACACTGTCGCGAGTTGAGGGGGAGAGGGAGGACCCCACAAACTCGTGCAGGAAGAAAAGAGAGTATATTTTAAATATATTTTAATAAATTCACTTACCCGCGTAGTGGACCCTACGTCCTGGGAGTGGGTGGCATGGCTCCGGCTGGCTCCGGCAGGTGGACGTGTAATAAGAGGGGGCGAGGTGCGAAGCCCTCGCCATTTTATAGCCTCGGACCGCTGGCGTCGGCAAATGACAACTGGTCACTTGCCGACGGCAGCGTGTCGCGAGGGCCGGAAAGCCATATCGCGACACACTGCAGAAGCAATGTTCGCAAGTTCGTTGACCCACTCATTAACCTTAACAATGATGTGATAAGTAGCGCGTACTCATTTCCGAGTGAGTAGCCACGCTTGTGGCTTTGTGACCTTCCATTTCCTGGTATCACAGTTGTGGATTGCTTTTGCCTCCCACCGAATAAAATGCGGTTGGGTAATCAAGACAGATGGATACTTTTTAGAGACGAATGATTACGAATGGGATGATGATCAGATGAACTGTGTGGTGGCCTGGAAAACCAACATCGCCAAAGACACATAATGAAAACACTTGTCTTACCTGGGAGTCTAAACGTTAGCTCTACGTCCACGGTTGTTCTTCCATACCTCTGTGACACGTCATGAAGTTAATTTCTGTGATCCTTCCTGGAGCACATTTTTCGTAATGTATAATTACTGGGTGTATGCCTACCCTATCCTCGTGGTTGGTGTTGGTCAGCGTGCTCGCTTTACCTTATGCGGCCACGGGTTCGATTCCCGGTGAGGCAGGATTATAGTGTGCGTTTTCGTTGCAATGTCCCAATGTTTGTTGCTATGTGACGCTGAGAAAATTTAGTTCTCAGTTTGAGAAGTCCGGAATACGGCGTGGGGATGACTATGTGATAACCACACGAACTGGTCAACCCGTGGACGCGAGGCAGGGACGTCGCCGGAAGGCCTGAGCCCGTTCAGGGGCTGTCACGCCAAGTACATACGTACTTACATACATTCTCCCGTATAAATTTATCGATAACAGTAAATATATTTCAACTTTTTCCTTCGTTAACGAAGCTTAGTTCCATATACTCAATGTGACAAATAAAGTCATTAAACCAAACAATTTAGTGACTTTTGTTAAACTAGGTTTGCGTCGTATATCGTACTTGCTATATGACAACGTATGCCTCATTTCAAATCCATTTTAGGATATGTTCATTACCATTAAAGTCTAGGTCAATTTTATTATCTATAAAGAAGAATCAGTATCAGGATGATAGTTTTTATACAACTTGGTATTCTATATTAATCATCAATTTAAATATGACTTGTAATCATTATCTGTTATGGTAGTCTCGAAGACTGCAGAAATTGGAAAGAGATATTTCATGTGCATTTCCTTAAATCCACTTTCTCTTGTTTCGTGTTCAAAAACATAAAAAAGGTGTTCCATATGTTTTCTTGCCAATTGTATGCAGGACTTTGTTTCTTTGATTTTCTGGGCCAACTGTGAATGGAAAAATTAATTTATATTTATCACAAGAGATCTTTGCAAATATTCTCTCGTATATTTCCTACAATATGGACTATTTAATAGTTTCCTTTAGAATATTTAAAATAGCTTTACTTAATGCATACTTTTTATTTTGGGTTACGTTATGTGTCATATGTGGAGGCTTTATAACCATGTGGAGAATGCTATTCAGGAGGAACGTTGTGCAAAAACCAATGTATCGGCAGCATCTTGTATTGTTAGCTTACTAAAAATTTCAATTAGAACGGCGTCCTAGTCAGACGTCCATGGGCCCAGGTGACCTGTGATAAGCAAGTCGCAATCCCTTACGTAATTTATTGGCTTCTTATTCTAAGAAGACATTTTCACCCAGTGTAACAGTTATATGAACTGGGACGTGACAGTGAAAAGCGACTGTTAGTTTTGCCTCTGGGGATCAAACCCGGGGTCGCAACATGGAAAGCTAGCTCGCTAGCCATATATTTTTAATTATTTTTATGAATTTATTTACAATACCTTATGGTTCACTTACACATTTAATACACATAACAAGTGGGAAGGACATGCACTCCGTTCACATAATCATCATGCCTTCAAATTATTGTCGTATATAACAATGAATTACACACAAAGAAACCTGCACGAACAATTATAATACTGTTTTGGCATATGCGCTTTTGTATACATAGGAAAAGACATTAACTTTTCTTATAAAACCGGCGTACTAACGTTGATTTGGTGGTGAATGCCATTGAAACTGACAAGCGCGCTCTAATTAGGCATTCATGGCAGCGGCAAAGGACAACGTGAAACGACGTGCGGCCTTTTGGGGTTGGGGCGAACCACAATGAGGCAAGGGGTTCCGTCAGGTGGCGGCTGCCGGGGCCCAGCCGGTGCGCAGATGACGGTGAGCGCCCAGCGCACGCGACGGCGACACCGCCAGAAGTTTAATTCTAATTTCAGTTTTTAATCAAGACAGTTTCAGTAACATGCTTTTATGTGAAGATAATTATTTGTTCAATGGCATTGAGACTTCGAAACGATAACATGGTGTAATCGAACGCCTTTGGCCGTCTGTTATTACTTAAAAAGTCAAAAATTAAAGGGAAACGAATATTATTAATATCTCTTGAACTAGCGATTGAATACACTGTATTTTCATATCTAACAAAGGGAACCAATAAGCACATGTCTTGCAACGACTCTAACCTCCGCCGCTGCCGCCGCAATCGCCTCCGTGCCTGCCGACTTTCTTAAGTTCATTATTAGAGTATATTATTATTCATGAAGAGCTACGACATAATTTCACCTTTCGACCGTTTGACAAGGTTCGTGACAAAATCGGAAACGTTCTTCGTGTGGCACGGTTCTATCTGACTACTTGTACAAATAGAATACTCTCATGCTGCAATCTATGGACAAATAGTAAGTGGGAATGTAAAAAAAATTACCTCTATAGGTGGGGAGATGACTGAATAATGATTAGCGAATCATTGACATCAATGTACTCGAAACGACTGAATATGTTAGCTGGAAAGTGGTCATTCCAATTTTGCAATCTTCCGCAGGCACTTCACTTACCTTATCAACTTCAATAAATCAACAAATATATTGCTGTAGCTTTAACTAAAATTCCGCGGAGGTTCTCACGTCTCCTCTCCCCCTCCGAATTTTACGCGGCACGTACGCCCGTGGGTTCAGGTGCGGGGGGGGCGGGGGCGGCGCTGGGGGAACGGCCAAGTC